TGTGTGTGTGTGTGTGCGTGCGCACTCCCACACACGTGCGCGTGTGTGTTTCTGTAAGTTGTTTGAGTCAATATGTAGACTCCAAGTGAGTAACACTGTTATCTTTTTACCTCACAGGATTCACGTGGCCAACGTTACAACCCCAAACCCCGGTAACAACATACGGCAGCAGCAGCAGCTACAACAACAATTACAACAACAACAACAATAACCACAACAGCAAGAACTACTATGACACCCGCAAACATCCCTCCACGAATAACTCCCCCTATAGTCCCACAGTGTCCATCCCAACTGGACACAAATCCAACACCGCCTCCAGACATCCTCACCGGCACTCTGGGTCACACACGTCTAGGTCAAGGTCAAGGACGTCCAGCTACCACGTCGGGAAGGATCGAGTAAAATCATCATCCGGTTACCATAACAAACACTACCACATTCCGAAACGGAGCTACCAGACGGAGACCAACCGGATACCGGAACAGGATCCGAATCTTGGGAATAACAAGATATCCAATCAAAGTCCACAGGTTGGAAATAACTGGATTTCGAAACCGGGTTCTCACAAAGAAAAGAAAAGGGTCCAGGAACCGAATAAAAATTTCGGAAACAACCGGATTCCGAAGCCAAGCTATGAGACCGGAGGGAACCGAATTTTGACTTCTTCTGGAATCAATCCTAAAACAAACCGGATCTCCACAACAAACTACAACTCTGCAAGCCACGGGATCTCGTGGAAGAACGAGATTTACCTGCCCACGACGGATGTGAACAGGGTGCCTACCACGGTGGGGCAGAAGAGCTCCTCCTCGGCCAGGGGGGAGTTCAGCCAATACTGGAGGTCTTGCCCGGATTGTTATAGTGAGTTCATAAATTCTATCTTTGTTTGTCTGATGTTATAGGGATTCAATGCATCTCTTTGTTTGTTTGGGGTTATAATGAGTCAATAAATCTCTTTGTTTGCCATTTCTCTTTATCTTTCTCTGTCTGTCTGTCTGTCTGTCAGTCAGTCTGTCTGTCTGTCTGTCTGTCTGTCTG